GCTGTGAAGTTGTCATTGCGGCATCGATGACATTAAAACACGCACCACTGGTAGCTGTAGCTGTACCCGTCGAAGGGCACGGCAGTCGTAAGTGGGAGCACACAGTCCTCAAAATATTGCCGCAAAGTCAACAGTGGCATGGTGTCGCTGGGAAAACGGTGCACATGAGCACAGATAAGTGATGTATTTGAAGTGCAATAAGCCACACAAAAATGCAGTGATGACCGGAATGCGCTTCGAAGTAGGGAGCACCACATTGCCCGACACTTGGGCGAGTAAGTTGTCAAGAGTTGTTGTTTTGGCATTCAATAGCAGTAAAACACCGTGACGGCTTTTGGGCGGTTATGCGCAATGCTCCACTGTGACAGTTGCCAAAGCTGTTGCAAGTGACATGTCTGATAAGCAGGTTACTGCGATATCACAATATTTGTGGCACTGTCCACAAGAACTTGTCAGCGGAGAGACTGATCATCATCTTAATCCACGCTGCTTTTATCGCTGCTCGTCGTGTCAGCATCCAAGGTCACTACTACGTTGGTTGTCATCAATGATGTGCTCAATCTTCATCATGTCATCCTCCACTTCTATTACGTGGATCACGTAACTTTTCCATTTTTATGCAGTGACTCGCTCTATGCCTTTCCAAGCAAGAGCCTCGAGGCCTTCCATCTTGAAGTGTGTATTCCCTATTGCAACATAACCTTTAACATCACTACACATGAGCTCAATCGGGTTCAGCTCACAGTGGTATGGCGGCAAGCGTATGACAAGTGTGACCAGCATCAGCAGCAATGCAATGAGATACCTATTACCCTCCGTTCTTACGGTTTGAACAAACTTTACAGTTCTGCGTCTAACCTGTCAATGCTCCACCCTTCAGAGAGAGCCAGGCTTGAATGTCTTTTTTCAATGTACCCATACGGGGTACCTTTTCAAGCTTCACAGAATGATAAGGTGTGTTATGAAGCACAATGGCACTTTGCGGCGGCAAATTCTGCAGTAGTTTTTATTTAAACCACTTTTCGTAGTGGGCACCACCCATTTCATCATGCTAGTCGCCTGTTCTCTTTCTGGCTCGAAACACTTCACCGGCAGCTGTGATGAAACCGTCCTCGTTGCCACAGTGAGTAATAATGAGGCGACCTCCCTTACCACTGGGGTTTGGCAGGCCTGTAGTCAGGTTGCCTTTCTTGGCGTGCTCAGTGGACTTAATGGTCTCGTCGACCAACCCATGGCTCACAGTGTGCCCTGCATTCGCCCAAGTTTCATCAGTGTAAAAGATGGGTCGCCTTGGCGTCGAACCTTCTTAATTTGGCCAAGTACTTGTGTCGCCACTGAATGATGTGAGTGGCCTCGATCAGAAGTGAATGGTAACGCTTCTTAAAGCGAAAGCCTACCTTGAGCGGCATCCTGTGAATAGTTGTTGCAGACACGGACGGCAGCAAGTCATCTTCTTAGAAGTATGCGGCGAGCTTGCGCACCGTCAGAATTTCCCACCGTTTATAGAAACCATGCATGACTCTGCACAACACACCAAGGCCACAGTCGTACAGCAGCTGCTCTCGATCACGGCCCCTGCCACTGCGAGACAGCGTCTTGGGCGAAAGTACTTTGTCGTGCTTATCGTGCGCCGCTACCCACTTGTACAGCGCACGCTCGCTGACGGTGTACGCAGCCGTTCTCTTAATGAGAGAGCTTATGCTTGCATTTCTGCCGCCCTCTTTACGCACTGTCCCGCTTCGCTCTCTTGTCATAAAAGCTGACTTGGGAACGATATCGCACAGGTGAACCATGCGAACCAGGCGCTGCCATTTTGACAGGAGTGACCAAATCTGCCACGGAGGACTAATCACAACCCAAGACTGGGTCCTCCGCGCCGCTGTGGACGCTTGGGCTGTGCGGACTACTCATAAAAGTTTAGACAGTGTCGTACCATTCCTTCGTACTTTATAAGTAAATACATAACACATACGAGCCACAACAGGGTTACTTCTTTCGTCATTTGCATGTTATAACACGTACAAGCAAGAACTCTTTCTTCAGTATTATGGAGCCTCAAAAATTGTTTTATACAGAAAATGCGAAAAAAATTTCGCGCAACTCACAACTACAACACGCAGAGAAGCCTTCAAGTAAAAATCCTCCAACAAGACCGCTTGCAAAAGTCACGAGGACAAACAACAGGCTACGCTTACGGGGCACTACATCTCGCTTCGCAACAACCTGCGCTCGAGGGTCGTGTAGCCTTGGCTGTGCTGCATGGAACTTCTGGAACAGAGTATATAACTGCATACAACAAAAGAAGTCGGGGGAGGCCTTTCCGCCAAGCAGTTAGAACATTCAGATGAGATCCAGCCTTGTTTCTCCGCATTTGTGAAGCAAGATTCGTCCAACAGCCTTACTATATTATTACAATAGCATTTATGTGGACACTATCCACGGGTTGTTACAGTAACCATCATGATGACAGACCTACGTGCACCGCGTTTTACCTTTTAACATAGTAGCATGTAAAAGGGTTTACGAGCCATGCACGCTGATGCCTGCCGAAATAACGTGCACACCAGCGATCGAGACGTTACAGTCAAAGTTCACAGCAGCTGTTAGAGCTATCAGTCTCAAAGAAACCACAGCTATAACTTTCAACGAAACTGAAAACACAATGTTTCCGCCAAATTTTCAGTCATCACTTTGCAGCTAAATTCAGGTGCTGCGGCACTGGTAAGCGAGTTTGGTGCAACTGGAGTGGTTCGGCGCAGGATGCCACAGGCAAACAAGTTTGGCACACAATAACGCAGCTGTTGCAATCCTGCATAGGACAAGAACGACATCAATGGGTTGCTAAGGTAACTGCCGTTTAAATCCCTCCCTCCATTACGAGCCGATGCCACTGGTTTGATGTGAATTTCCAAGAATGTTTAACTCTGCATAAAAGATATAGTCATTAAATATATTCTTGGAACATGCGCAGCTCAGTTGCTGCAAGCACAAGAACATGTCATTTTAGGACGTGAGGGCTTAGCGGTTGCTGCATCTGACATGTGGTGGTTGGGTGTTACCTGGCAGAACAGCTGTTTATTTTACAGCGACAGCCATTATGAACTCATAACACGGGTCACATGCACCATAGTAGGCCCTGAAACCACTGTCCCGCAAAATAAGAGAAAATCTGAGCAAATAAACACCAACGACACAATGGGATTCAAACCCTGGTCCCCAGAATGCTAGCCCAGTATTCTACCACAGAGCCACGCCAGTGCTTGAAACTCCGTAGCAAACTGGCCTAAAGAAAGGAATATGAGTAATAAAGCATTTTAAAACAGCACAGGGGCACCACACAATGCAAATGGTGTAATCAGTGGGTTGTCCAATGCTCTAGCCATTACTTCAGGCATAATTTATCATCAGCCACAGCATCGAAAAATTGCACAGAATTATTTGCAAATGTGTAGTGAGCACCACACTTATCCGAAGAACGGTGAAGGACGGCATAGCCTGCCTGATATACAAACATTATGATGATTAATGACATAGTGGGTAAACTGCACGTGTGCTTGTAGCAATTGCTTTTGCTGTGACAATGCTGAGCGTTCAGCACAGGCCAGTTTTTTTTTTTTTTTCTAGAGCTGGAGCAATACGTTACTTTTACTGAGTGATGAGGGTTCGTAGACCTTGATCTGTACCGCCTAAAGGTGCCGATAAAATGTTCGCCCAATTTGACAACCAAAAATTATTGAATGCTTAAGATATTGAAGAATGTGTGGAAGATGATGCCTTAATTTTTTTTTTTACACAACCGAGAACAATGACAGCGTCCCTCCCTAAATTGGCTGTGAGCCACGCTTATTGAGGAGACTGCACCATTGACATGCAGGAAATGTATGATGAGCAACTGCGTAAAGTAATGCTGTGGTTCAAGAAAATATTTGAGCAACCACTGGCTGATTTTGGTTGAGCTTGCAGTGAAAATATTTGTCTCCGTGAGCTGAAAGCTCTCGAATATTTCTCGCATTACGTGTTCAAAAGCGTTTTCCCTGAACCAGTTTACATACAGTCATGAGCAAACATTGCACGCACACAGTGACTCCTTATTTACATCAAACAGTTTTCTTTTTCAAAAAAAAAAAATACTAAGAAAAACCTGGCAGACACTTGAGCTTTGCCGTCAAGAGCAGAATGCAATGTCATGACTGGGCCCTGCGTGCATTGCCTTCAACCATGCAGCAAAAGAGTGTTTCCTGAGCATGAAAATTGGCAGTTTCAAACTATTCTAAAATGCCCAGCAGCCCCGTTGCGGTAGCCTAGGGGCTAAGCTACTCAGCCGCATTTTCGATGGACAGGAAAATGCTGTAGGTTCGTATGCTCGGATTTGGGTGCACGATAAAGCACCCCAGGTGGTCAGAATTTCTAAAACCCTCCATTACAGCATCTCACCATCATCGTATTATGGGACATTGAAACACACACATCAATCAATCAGAAGCCCTGTAGTGAAGTATCTATTGCACCATAATTCTTCAAATTGGCAAGGTACCCACAACGCGTCTGTAAGAAGGCTGCACACTTTGTAATATAATAATTTTTACATTTTTATTTCTACGAATAATTTTAAAACAGACTGTTTGGTAGTCAGCACTGTATTGTGCATGTTCACTGTCCGCCATCATGTGTTATTTTGACACAACGTTCACGAACTTACCTAGGAACGCGTGCGCAGTCTCTCGACTGGCCATAAGTATTCGTGCGTGCTTTCTTTAACGCCGCTGTGCGACTTTGCAGGTACTAGCCTCTCTTACGTGCATGTGTACACACAGAGTCTCTTTATATCATTGTTTTAGTCGCATGAAGCTGCTCTACACAGTTATTACTGCTGCTTATTGAAAACTCAACCCCGTCTTGCACATATAGTACGCGCCGATAACTGCTAAAGTGCCGCCTGTTTGATCGAACACAGATGCAACACCCTTGAAATTTCTCGGCCATCGCAGAGGGATTACTACCTGAAGTCAACTTTGGTGGCACGTCTCCGAAGGGCGAGGGATCGATCTGGTGCGCCCTTGTAGGAGGCGGGGACAGAGGCATACATCGGCGTCGCTTCGGCGATCTGCCACTCGGACTGTGCAAGGGGTCCCAGTCATGTGTCCGCTTTAATGTCGCACAAGCCATCACTCAGACGTAAGCCTAACTGGGGACGCTCCTGCCTGCTCGTCACTTCAACACTGAAATCGAGAAGATAGGACAAAATCAATCTGGATGGCAACACTATTTACGATAGCGGTGGCGACCGTTCAACAATCGACAAAACGCGCTTGGTCAGCGGCAACACAACAATCACTACTTGCCCGTTCGAGCTGCTCTGTCCCTCAATATGGCCACCGGACAACGGCGGCGCTTCTAGTTTTAAACACTGTGATTGGCCAAGTTTTGAAAAACTGCGTTCAAACACTGTGTATTTTTTTTCACGACTTCAGCATAAGTTAATTTCATGTTGAGTTGTAGCTAATTACATTTATGCAAATACTTTGTCGAGACTGCGGTGTAAATAGGAAAGGAGACACGACGCGACGGCCGTGGTGGTATATGGGAGGTATAAAAAATAAAACGTTTTATTACAGATGTATGTGTACCAAAACCTCTTTAGTTAGCCACTGCCCGAACGCGCTTCACCAAGGAGCGTTGCTAGCGAGCGTAGCGAAAACATGCAAGAATAAGCCACTTTGCTTGGGTCACTGATCGAGATCACGCCCGCCATCTCGAAGGCAATGTTTCGTGGACAGAAAGGTTTTGGCAAAGACTGCTGCGCCGCGCTAGGTTGGCTAGAATGCACCCTAGCCGCGCGGCGCACGCATGTTCCCCTCTTCAAGGACACAGCGACGCTGTACAAGCACAGAGATGAGCGCACCCGAGTCATTGTCGAGGCCGCGCAGATGGCAGACGCGAACAGGTGCCTTGCATTAGAAAGCCCTCCGTGGCTCTGTCCGAGAAGGAACTCAGGTTTCTCGAAGGTTTCGGTGCGCGCAGGTAGTTATAATATCTTGACCTTTCTGTTTCGTTTTCTTATAAATTTTTTTTGCGGTTTTCTGTGCTTTTGTTTTTTTTGTCTTTGTTTTTCTTTTACTCATGTTCTGCTCTTTGTGCCATATGGTTTTTATCACATGGTTACTGTCTCCTCTATATATTTTCGTGCTCTGCGCAATAAAGCTCAGTTGGAAGTTAGCGCTCGTGTCTTTCGTGTCCTTCTTGTCTCTGTGTCGTCGTTTTGTTTACGCGCTATAACTATCGGCACGCATGGAGGAAGGAAAAATATAGGAGAGGCCATGACGTCATAAGCGTGAAGCCGCTGCATGGATAAATGGATGGATGGATATGGCTGTACCCTTTAGATCGGGTATGGCTAGCGCCACCAAGCCGTAATACTTAATGAACTCAAAATTATATTTATTTTTTTTCCTTAAAAAGTGAGTTTGAGGATTCGTACTTTGCAGTGAAGAGTTTAATTTTCACTCGTGCCTTGACTTTAGCCACCAATCAGATAACCTCCTTCTAGTTAAGTCTACTTGCTTAAAGTCTATTTTGCCCTCCCGGTCCCTAAACCCCAATGCTTTGAAAAACTCTGCGCCATCATCCTAAACTATAGGGTGAAGCCCTTTACAGAACATTATCAAGTGTTCGGCAGTTTCTTCTTCCTCTCCACACGCACTGTATACTGTGTCTACCCCTTCGTATTTGGCCCGATATGTCTTGGTTCGCAGTACTCCCGTCCTTGCCTCAAACAGTAGAGAACTACCCCGAGTATTATCATAGATCCTTTCCTTGGCAATTTCCTGCTTAAAAGTTCGATAAATCTCTAGTGCGGACTTCTTAATCATGCGCATTTTCCACATGTCAGTCTCCGTTTCCTTCACTTTCTTCTTAACCGATAGTTCTTTTTGGTTTGGCCACCTGCTGTTTTCTAAGTATTTACCAGTCAACTTCCTGGTTCGCTTCCTCCATTTTGTATTGACATTCTTCATGTACAAGTAGCTGAAAACCTTCCTAGCCCAACGCTCCTCCTTCATTTCTCTCAATCGCTTCTCAAATTTTATCTTGCTGCTAACTTCCCTGCCCTCAAATGATGTCCATCCCATATCACCTTGTACTCCCAGATTTGGTCTATTTCCGTGAGCTCCTAAAGCAAGCCTACATATTCCACGTTGCTTAATTTCTAATCTTGCTTGAACCTCTGATCTCATGCACGAGACCGCATTGCCGAACGTCAGCCCAGGAACCATGACCCCTTTCCATATTCCTCTCACAACATCATACCTATTGTAACTCCACAGTGCCCTATTTTTCATCACTGCTGCATTCCTGTTACCTTTAGTCGTCACGTATATTTCGTGTTCCCTCAGATACTCGGTCCCATTGCTTATCCATACGCCCAGATATTTGCATTTATCTGTTATCTCTAGCGTGACGTCCTGTATCCTAAGCTTACTACCTTCGTTGTCATTGAAAATCATGACTGCTGATTTTTCCTTACTGAATCTAAAATCTAACCTATCTCCATCATTACCGCAGATGTCCATCAATCTCTGCAAATCTTTCTTGTTGTTGGCCATTAGCACTATATCATCTGCGTACATTAATGCTGGTAGTGCCTGATCAATAAGTTTTCCTTGTTTGACTAAAGAGAGATTGAAGCCCAGCCCACTTCCCTCTAATTTTGCCTCTAATCCTTGTAGGTACATCATGAATAATAAGGGTGACAGAGGGCACCCCTGCCTAAGCCCCCGTTTTACCTCTGCAGGCTTGGATACCCGTTTTTCCCACTTTATAACTACTTTGTTACCTTTATAGATACCCTTTAAAAGATTAGTGACTACATGTTCCACGCCTAGTGTGTCCAGTATTCCCCACAATTCCTCTTGAACCACGCTATCGTACGCTCCCTTGATATCCAAGAATGCTAGCCACAGGGGCCTGTGTTCCTTTTCTGCTATTTCGATGCACTGCGTCAGTGAGAACAGATTGTCTTCCAACCTCCTGTGTTTCCGAAACCCATTCTGCAGTTCCCCCAGCACCCCCTCATCTTCTATACATGCCTGCAGTCTTTCCTTTATAATCTGCATCGCCAGCCTGTAGACCACTGATGCCACTGTTATAGGACGGTAGTTGTTTATGTCAGCTTTGTCCCCTTTTCGTTTATAGATCATGCTCATCCTGCTAAGTTTCCATCCATCGGGAAGTTCACCATCGATTATTATTGTGCTCACTGCCTCTCTCAAAGCCTGCTTAGACTTCGGACCTAATGTCTTTATCAGCCTAATTGGAATGCCATCTGGGCCTGTTGATGTACTACTACGAACCCTTTTCTCAGCCCTTTCCCACTCTTGTTGTGAAAATAGAGTCATTGCACCACTTGATTCGTCCTTGTCTATTGTGGTGCATAAAGTACTTCTTTGTTGAAATTTTTTTGTCACCCTTGTCCTTATATATTCAATAGCTTCGCCCCCTTCTAGCCTAGCACCTTGGGCTGTAGTTATAAAACTCTGCTCTAAGCTCGTCTCATTTCTTAGGGAGTTTAGATGGTTCCAAAATTTCGCAGCTGCCTTTCTATCTTTTTCATGTACTTCTGCCAGCCACTGAGCTCCCTTTCTTCTTATCTTTTCATTGATCCGAAGGGATTTTTTTTTATTCACATACTGCAGCCCATTAAGGGCTATGGCAGGAGTGGGTGAAAAAAAAAACAGAGCAGAGAATTACAAAAGTACCACTTCTGGAAACACACTACAAAATAACACACGAACAAAATACAATATACATGGCAATTCCATTCAGTACAAAAATAAACATCCAATGAATGGGCACTGCGGGGCGTACATATTAATAGAACAAAGCAAGGAACTATTGGTTAGATACGACTTCTAAGAGAAGGCAGGAATTGATTTATCGGTGCACTCCTAATCTCACCCGGCAGTAAATTCCATTGTTATATGGTTCTAGGAAAAAAGCTAAATTTGAATAGATTGGTGTGTGCGTGAAAAGGGGCGAGGTTTAGGGCATGATTATTTCGAGTAACGGTTGGCATAGCATACGTAAGATAGCTGTTATCGGAGAGATGGTTAACTGAGTGAACGATGGCATGAAAGAATTTGAGCGACTCGATATCTCGTCGAGTAGAGAGTGAGGTTAGATTTAAAGTGGTAATGGCGGATGTAGGCTAAAAATGGTGGTCATAGCGTCGACAAATGAAACGGATTGCTTTTTTTTTGCACAGATTCAATTTGTTTTATTTCTCTTTTTTTGTACGGACACCAAACGATAGAGGCATAATCAAGAACTGGACGAATTAGTGTTTTGTACATTAGTAATTTAGTCTCATATGGGGAAGTTCTGAGGGTACGTCTTAGGTAGCCTAGTTTTTTAAGAGATTTGGTGCAGACTGAATTGATATGTTTAGACCAGGAGAGGTTAGTGGTGAAAATCACGCCAAGGTATCTATAGTCTGAAACCCTTTGGAGCATTAGGTCATTGAAAGAGTAGTTGAAAACGGAAGTCTACGTTTTGGTAGTAAACGACATCGAGACAGTTTTACGGAAATTGATATTCATTTGCCATGTGTCACACCAAGAGCAAAAGGCACTAAACGAATCATTGAGAAGATAGTGATCTTTAACGGAGTTAATGGTGTTATATAGAACGCAGTCATCGGCGTACAGACGTAATTTACAGGTAATAGATTGTGGTAAGTCATTAATAAAAATAAAAAATAATAAAGGACCAAGAGCGGATCCTTGTGGTACCCCTGATGTGACTTTGATTAGAGATGAATTGCCAGAGTTAAAGCTAACGTATTGGGAGCGATTAAACAGAAAATTGGCAATTAGGTTTACTAGACTGGAATTTTTTAGGATGGCTTCGAGTTTTTTGAGCAACTTAGAATGCGAAACAGTGTCGAAAGCTTTTGCGAAATCAATGAATATTACGTCGACCTGGTGGCCGCAGTCAAGACTTGCAGAAATGTCATGGGTAAATTCTGTCAATTGGGTTAAAGTGCTGAATCCCCTACGAAAGCCATGCTGCAGATTAGATAAGACGTTGTTAGTCTCAAGAAAGTCGATTATATGTTTATAAATGATGTGCTCCAACAGCTTGCCGGAATGTGGTGTCAGCGAGATGGGACGATAGTTTGGAAAAAGCTGCTTATCGCCAGACTTATAAATCGGCCGAACCTTGGCCAGTTTCCAGGCACTAGGAAAAACACCCGAGGATAAACATTTCTGAAATATGATGGTAAGGTAACGAGATGTCCATAACGCATACCGAATTAAAAAAGAGTTTGGAATACCATTGGGACCGTCTCCCTTTTTTGCATCTAGATTCAGAATAAGATTCAACACACCAGCATGACTGATAGTTACATCAGTAATTGAGCCTATGTCGGAAGGGGAGTTAAAGGCAGGGGCAACATGATTATCGACGGAAAATACAGAGTGGAAGTAAGT